TCCTGCATCGGGTACAACGTCGGAGGTAAGCATCATTCAGCTGCTATTTAAACACTGGGGACACTTTAGTTTTAAGAAAACCCTTATTTAACCATATTATTCATCTAATAAATAGTTTATAAAACTACTATAACATAAGATAAGAGGTACTTTATTATTCCCAAATTGGGATATTTTATATTTTTTGCGTTGCAGCAGCATAAAAAACAACAAAACAATAAGTAGATATTAAAGAGTAGAAATAAACAATACTAGAATTTAAACATCTCAAAATAGAATTAAAGCAGCATTCAAAAGTAGAAAATATACAGTAGACCGTGAAGATATCATTTAGTTGAGAGCATATGAGGAAGACAGAAGGGCTATCACAATAAACATAACCAAATATTCAAAATCACACAGTACTCAGTAGGTCAGGCTGTTTCAAATGAACTAAAATAACATTTTGCCTGACATATTTGACCAGAAGTAGTAAAACACAAAATATCCAGACTGCTCTTTATTCAGACCTTAATGTCCTTTTGCAACTGAGCATTAACTTTATCCTCTCACTGAACTTAGAAAAGACTTGTTGAGGGCAACCATCAGTGTTTATTGTATTGTTATATATATATATATATATATATANTGGGGGGGTCTGGGGGGGTCCGAAAACCAGTCAGTATCTGGTGCGAGGGTTAGGATTAGGGTTATGTTGTGAATCGAGTGGCCCGTGGTGGTGGTGGGGTTATTGTATGGGCAGGCGTATGTTATGGACGATGAACACAGGCCACTCGATTCACAACATTACCCTAACCCTAATCCTAACCCTCACACCAGATACTGACTGGTTTTCGGACCCCCCCCAATAAAGCAAAAATGCACGTTTCAGAGTGGCCTTTTATTGTGGCCAGCCTAAGGCACACCTGTGCAATAATCATGCTGTCTAATCAGCATCTTGATATGCCCCACCTGTGAGGTGGGATGGATTATCTCGGCAAAGGTAGAAGTGCTCACTATCACAGATTTTTTCAGATTTGTGAACAATATTTGAGAGAAATGGTTATTTTGTGTATATAGAAAATGTTTTAGATCTTTGAGTTCATCTCATGAAAAATGGGAGCAAAAACAAAAGTGTTGCATTTATATTTTTGTTCAGTGTATATATATTGCATGTTATTTCACCAGTCCACTAGGTGGCACTGTGACATTGAAGTTGTTGTCGTTCAATAAGCATAGAAGAGGAACTGGGGGCTATGTTGTTATGCTAAGTATGTG